TCGATTCTTTCTTCCGAATCGCTTCCGGAAACATTTCTTCGAGAAGTTGAACGAAATTATTTTTTTTCCTCTTCTACTTTTCTTCCTCTCTCCATTTTCGAATATTCTCAACAAACTTATTCTTCTTTTCGAAGACGTTCAAATTTCCTCTCCGTGATTTTTCCCTCTTCGTGAAGATTTCTCACCATCTCCTGTCTTTCTCTCTTTGCATATACGTTTTTAATAATGTTCGTAATTTCCTTGTTCTTTGTGAATTCCGTTCCCTTTGACGGTATCCGAAGTTTTCCTTTATCGCGTATAATTTTTAATAAAGTAGCGAATTTCTTTTGTAAATGTTTTTAATGAAGTCGAATGCGATGAAATTTCTCGACAGCAAAAATTTTTTGTATCTATATTTTTCATAATATTGGAAATACTTATTTTTCGTTTCTATACCTCCACTTCTATATTCCATACTCTATTATATTTATTATATAAATGACGAGGATTTTTTCGTTATATTTTCCCAATAATTAATCAAAAACTTTTCTCTTAAAAATGGAAAATGTTTCCATCCGAAATGCATAGAGTCCATTAATCGCTACGAGGCGCGATCCCCCTTTTTTTCACAAAAAGCGAGACAAATTTTAGGGGAAAAATGAAAAGGAAGGGGGACAAATAAAAATTCTTGCCCGTCTATTCGGTTGCAACGCGGCGGCCAACAATTAAACGACGAGAATCACGATTGGAAATTGGAAATTTCGAATCCGCCCGCACATTCGCCAGCTGCAATGCAGTTTCCTGTGTAGGGCCGCGATCGATCTAATGCGCGCGATGCATAAGGCCGTGCACGCCTCGTTCTCCTATACATTCTCACTGTCCAACCAATGATTTTCGACTGTGCCCGGATTTTTTTTTTTTCTCTTCTTTTTTTCATGCATCGACAAATTTATACCGAGCCGATCGAGATTTATACGCGTTGGATATCTCGCGTTCGAGATGAAATTTTTCAACGAACAACGCCACTTAGGACACGCACGCTCGTTACGTGCACCTTCGCGTATTTTTCGACAAGTGGTGCTTGCTAAAATTGGAAAAGAAATGGATGGCAATTTGTATTTGGACGCTGATTTCTTGGAGAAGAAAGCAGCTATCTTGAAATTGTATTGTACGTTTTTAATGAATACACGCGGATGTTCTATTCTGTGTAATCATTTTCACAATGTTTGATGATCCCATCGAGGATATATTTATAAATCTTTTGTCTATTATTTGTTTCCAAATGCGATAAAATATATAGGAATTATTTTATTCAAAAATATGTTATTCGTATATATTAACCACTGCTGAAATTTCTATTTTCTTGGAAAATGAAATTTTTCGAAAGAAATATGTTTATTTAAAATTTTAAAACATAAACTATTGGGCCAGCAGATAAATATATTACTCAAATGTTTCTTTAAGCTTGTTTTACTTTTTTCTGGGAAGAGTAGATTTTTCTTTTCATTCATACTTCATTCGTGGGTGCACACATTTTTAGTAGATGATTGGAGAAGTTGCAATTGAATGCAAAATTTGAGAGATCACTTTTGAATTTATAATTAATAATATTTCATAATTATTTGTTTTAAATAAAATATTTCTCAGTTGTGTAAATATATACTCTTGTCATATTCATTGATCACTGAAATATTAATCTAAATTAATTCTAAATATATATTTGATAAATCATTCTGCGACGTAATTACAAATAACATAATATATGATCAATTTTTTGTTTAAAACTAATCAAATGTATTATTTAATCTTGTGTATAATACGTGAACATCGTTACACATCGAATTCACGTCTACTGAATTTTTGGAATAATATATCGTACTTTTATTTTAAATTATTTTTTACAGGGGGAATCAATTAAGCATAAATTACCATTCTACAAATTAAACGGGAAATAAGATGGAAACGTTTCCTAATGAAACGGATTCGAAACGAAAATTCTTGTCGAAATTTTCTCCACCGTCTTACCTCGGATTAAACTTGTTAACCGGTTTGTAAGTTGCGTAGGCTAAGAACAATATCAACTCGAATACAAGGGGATGGGAATTGTAAAATCTGGTGGAAAGTAATAAGTTGAGAGAGGTGTATAGAGATCGATACGAGTTCGCACCGGTGGAAAAGTTGGCAAAGTTCGGGAACGTTGTTATAACGCGAATAATATTTCACCATAGTTGGATCGATCTTTCGAACTCTTATTGCGCCTTATCTTTGTTTAATCGTAGCGTATGTCTCGTCCTGGATTCCATTTTCCGAGACGGAAAATTCTCCCTCGAGAGGAACGATCGATAAATCAACAGGTATCTGTTAGTTACCAGGCATTTTTAATTCGAAATATTGACCTGTTTTAAATGCGCTTACAAGGGACTGATTAGTTTAAAAAAATAGATTTTTAAATTAATTATATTCTCTATTTCTTTACAATTAATATGTTAATTATTATGAAGAAAACTCGATCAGGAAGAAAACGTGGATATTCGTTATTGAATTGCAAAATTTTGAACTAATATAAATGATGCGTTAAAATTTTTGCTAAATGAAAAATGCTAAAAAATTAATACCAGGAAATTGATCAAAGATATTTGGTCGTATTGAAGATAAGCACGTGTTGGTGAAAATAAGAGAGGCGCAAGAGCATCAATAGGATCTATAAATTACCAATAAGTAATTTCGAAGTATCGCTTATTCGACTTTTGCAACATTTAATTTTCTTTCGAGAGATCAAATAGGAATTGAGAATCAATAGCCAGAAGCAATAAATTCCTTGGTTCGCTCTTGCTTGCTAACCCCTATGGAATGCATTAAACGAGAGAGAGAAAAAAAAGATGGAATGCTTGAACGAACACGAATCAACGGAAGGAAATGCTTTGTATTTAGTTTAATAAACGACGATAAAGGCCAATGTCGGAGGGCGTTCGATTTCACAGAGGATGTAATTATAACGCGATGATAATACCTATATCGATACACAGAATTTTAATAATAAATTTTAATAATAAAAATCTGTATAATCGATGAACTCTATAATTGGAAAATTATATTTGCATATTTCACATTTCGGTGTAAAGTACAAAGACTAGTAAGGATACACTTTGGTTCCCAAAATATTCGTGCGAAAATACAAAGAATCATTGTCAGCAATTTTCTCATATTTCATTTCGAGTCAAAATTCTGAACTTTAATATTCAATTAACAACTTTTCAATACATTTACATTTGAACTACTTAATTTACTCGTTAATTCGATAAACGCTCAGTTTTCCAATTGTCATTCCTTTTCGTTTATTTCAAACTGTCCGTAATACTTCTCATCCTTGACTTGAATAATTCCCGACCAAAGTGATTGATGCGATTATAAATAATGAAAAAGCAACGAACAACAAAAAAAAAAAGAAGAAGAAACAAGAAAACAGCGATAACACTTTTGTCGAAAGATTTGAACGATGGTCGGTGAGAAATCGAAACGAGACGAGTTGCGGTGGAATAGATGGCGCATGAGGTTTATCGAGATTCTTTTTGTCTTGTTGCATAACCGGCGACGACGTTGCTCGTCATTGCAACGTCTCAAGGTTTCCGCGCTGAATCCATTTCCTTAACCATCAGCGGTAATATTACGCTGCCGGCACTCATTAAATAGACCGCGGACACGTTTTAACGGGAAGAAAAACGAGTTTCTCTCACTCTCTCTCTCTGAAAATTCTTCTCGAGACGAGTCGCTCGATGCTTGTTCTCTATTTTCCAACAATTTTATATTTTTCCAAGCCTTTCTTCAAAATCTTCTTCCTTTTTATTTTTTATTTTTCTTCTTTTCTTTTCTTTTTTTTTTTTTGCGTCATCTTGGCTGTCGTTATAACTTCTTTATGGTACGGCGAAAGTAGCAGTAGTCGGATTTCTTTGTTGCTTGAATTTACTTGTTCCTTTCTGGATCTATCTTCCCCCCCCCCCCCTTCTTCTTTTTTCTTTTGTTCTTGAATATTTGATGAAAAGAGTCTTTGCATGTTTTCTGTCTTTTTGATTTTTTGATTCTTCTGAAACGAATTATTAATTTAGATTGTATTAATGTGATTGGAATATTTTCAATGCTCGTAAAATGTTTTGACGGATAGATATGAAAATATCTAGATGTTTTTTTTTTTTTCTCTCTCCTTTTTTCTTATAATAATTTCCTGGTTGATTTGTTATTTTTATATTTTATCTGTTATTATCTAAGATTTTTAATGAAATTACAATCGCGAGAAGTGATGACAAAGTGGAATATTTGCGACGTAATAAATCACGACTTGATCGAATCACAATTAACTATTGTCTATCGAATAGAAAAAAATCATGCAAGTATAATTAATCTGCGTGTCACGATCTTTCAAACGCAAACATCGATGTTACTTTATATTCTATTTCTATTTTATATTCGCTTAATATATATATTTACAAAATTTATATACACGGATGTGAATTCGTAATTTTATAAATATCGATATTTCGTATACGAGTCGATTTCACTTCGATAGTTAACGAACAAACGAAACTAATATTTCGAAAATATTATTTTTGCATAATGAATAATAAGATAATCTGAAAGAATTATGAGCTGTCAACAGCTTATAATTATAAATTACGTTGTTGTTTTCTGTTTGAGTAATTGCAGAAGCTTCGATTCTTTCGAATATATTTTAATAATATTTTTTTCCTCTTCCTTTCTAATTATTTCTCCTTTATTAGTCACATTTTTCTATAAAATTTAATTTATATATACAGATTTCGATTAATATCGTAAATGTAACAAACAATTAATTAATTCTAATTAAAAGAATTTGCAGAAGAATCTCTCGATTTAAAATCAATTTAACATTATCTTTTATTTTTTTCAGTTATTCTCGATTTTACAAAAAAAAAAAAAAAGAATTGTATTATAATAAAATTCATAAGCATCGTTAACGATCTGTCTGTCAATAAAAATGTATATATAATTTAAAAAGAAAACGTTTTATCAGTAGATAAGACCGGATCGATAATTTTGTTCCTTTTGTTCCTTTGTTAATGGTAAAAAATTTACGAAATTTGCATAACAAAATTGAATAAAAGTATCAAGAAAAAATTTAACCGTATTTCAAACATCTGTCTCTTAAAAAAACAATTACGAATTAAGCAATCATAAGGATCTTGCATTTGCAGAGTTCTAACAAATTTCCAATAATTACGCACGACTCTGAATCGAACCAATTAAATAACAATGCCAGTAATTTAAAAAAAATTACTTGTGTATTCTATCTGTGTTCTTCTGTCCATGTATTAAAGATTCGGTGCTGTTTTTAATTAAACGAGAGAAGCTTTGCCCGAATAAACGTACCGATATTATTTACTAATTAATCGTACATGAACAAGAAAGCACAGAAAAATATAAAGAATAAAGTTTCCCTTTAAGAATAAAAAATGTGTTATTTTTTTACGGAAAAATTTATTATAAGAAAATGTGGAAAATGAGAAAATTTTTAACGAGAAAAATAGATGTACAATCTATCGTTTGCACTCTACATACGTGCAAACTTTCATTAAAATCTCGAGTATTCTTTTCTATGCATGACGTTCAAACATTTTCACCGATTTCACATGGATTCCTTTCCAACTTTTATTTTAGCAAACACCCATCGAAAATTGTTTCGACATCGTTCCACGTGCACGCATATTTTCATTAACATGTTCGTCAAATGTGATGCCAAAAATCGAAAAGGTTTCCCAACACTGGATGCTGATACTCGGTACAAAAAATAAAAACGAAAAATGCAACGAAATCCAAAATAATCCCGCATATCGACGATCACGTACAAAAGCAAAATCTGTGTATAGAAAAGTTTTTTTTTTTTTTGTTTTCATCTTTTATATTTCTCGAAAAAGTCCACGACTATAATTCGGTGGCTAATTAATTTTTAGCAAATAAACAACGTTTGACGAGTAAAAATCGTGATGAAACAAGATCCTGCAAATAAACGAATATATATATATACATTTCAATAATTTTGTCCAAGTATTAATTATCGTGTCCATCATTAATTTATTATAGTTAGTTTTTGATTTGTATTTTCGTAATTTTTGTTTTATATATATATATATATATATTTTTAATCTATATGAAAATTTGATCCTCGGTCGAACAGCGTTTTCTTCGTGAGATTTTTATAATAACGATTATTATAATAATTGGTTTGGAATCGCTAAGATTCCATTGGATTTTAGCCATTTTATCAAAGCGAACATCGAGTTCAATCCAGTGATTGGCCACGACAATGAGGTCGACCAACTTAGAAACCTTGTGTTCGATTTCATGCGCTGTAAAGCAGCCTGTGACAATGATCCTGCAACGCGAGATGGCACTCAGACGTACAATGATGAAGTAACAGAGAGAGATTGGATTACTCGATAGATAGTTCTCCATTGTCTGTGTTGTAACTACCAATCTACTTTGAGAAATTAAAAAGCTTCTCGTACATTCTTACTCTCGTGACCATGGTGGAAATTCGTGAAAAAAATTCAGTTTACGTGTTCGATTATTCGTTGCGATTTAAAAGAAATTGAATATTGCGAATCTCTTCCGTTGTAATTTATATCGTTATAGGCAATAACGATCGAAAATAGAAGACAATCTTTTAATTTTTATCTACAGGCCGACGATTAACATACAGATTTATCGTTCGAACAATTGTTTATTAGATCATTGGACATATTATCTGGCAATTATATGTATATTTTTTTTAAACGTTCGTTTCGTCGAATATATCATTTTATAAAATGAATCGTAAGGTGATCTTCGACGGTTCGCCGAAAATATTATATCCATAGAAATTTTCAAATTATTCAAATTTATCGGATATAGAATCCATCGAATATTATTCTTATCTTTGGCGATTCTGACAATTCAAATCTTTGAGTTATAGCAACTTTATTCCCATGAAATTTTCCCTTTCCCTTTTGTTTTCGAAAAATCGTTAAATTGCAAAGTTTCGAGCATAAATCGCGATAAGAATCACGATTCGTTCTCTTTTTCCCTGTGAAAAAAACGTAAACGTGATTCTTTACGAGATTCTCTTCCTCGAAGGCATAATATTTTATTATTATTGCATTTTTCGAGTATTCTAAACGACTTGTCGTTTTTTATATTGTCGCGTGGTTATTCTCTCGAGCGCGAAAGATAATGGTAATTATTCGTGAATTTTTGCACCACTCTCCAACCTGATTTTTTTCTTCCTTTATTCTTTCTTTTCTTTTTCCTTTTTGCTTGTGGTAAGAAGAATTACGATATATCGAGGATTTTTATTAAGGCATCGAGAAGGGTGAAACTTATGATCATTGCTGTCGTATTCTTATCGACTCATTTTCAAGCATATTTACTCTCCTCTTTCACCCCAACTTTCACCAAGTTAATTTTATTTGGACATCTTTAGATTTCTATCTTTCTGCATTACATTTCTTGTCAAAGAAAAATTTTATGTCAAATCTGCGATACGAACTGTGATTTCGTTCCTACTTTTGAGATTAAAATTTTATTTTTAGTTTATTCTATTTTATGTTTTCATTTAGGTTCAAAATAGAAAAGAATCGTTTTGATTTGACATTTGTTGGATTCTTTGAACAGAATTACCGATTAAAATGAAACTCGTGAATCGATTATGTTGCTCGGAAATAAAATCGAAATGATTTCCATATTTAACTTTTAAAAATTATTCTTACAATGAAATATATTATATATATATATATGTTACTACCGCATATAATGCTTTCATATAAAATAGAATAAATTCAGCAAGAAAATAAAAAACCAAGAACATAAAAAATCCAATTTGTTATATTTAAATTTCGTTATTTTTTTTTTTTTTTTATGTTTTTATGTTGTAGCATATTCATCCGTCATAATATTTTGATTTAATGAGAAAAGTTCGCTATTATTCGTTAGCATTCGTTCGTTGTTAATTTTTTTTTTTTTTTTTTTCGTAATGGAATATCCTGTTTATTTGTTTCGTATCCTTTTCAAATTATATTTTTTATACTATCGTTATTATTATTATTATTATTATTATTAAATCTTATTTCTTCGTTTCCTTAATTGTCTCGAAAATTTTGTCGCTAATTTCGTAAAAAAAATTCATCATCGTTCGGAAGAAATGCGTGAATTAATGGAATATAGGATTTTATAAAATAATAATACGATGTCGAATCTTGGAACGATTTGTCGAGAAGCAGTCGAACGCTAGAAATCAATTTGCAGATGAAACAATCGGTGTTCGACCCGAATTACTCTGAATATCGATTTCGAATATAGACGAATCGACCTAACGTAGACAAATGCTCGAGCCCTGATCTAAAAGTGTAATTTCGAGGTGTTGTTTCGAGAAGATTGAAAGACTTTCGAACGGTATGAATAATCGTGCTCCGAAGAAAATTCAACGAAAATTGCAATCCGTGATGTATCTCTAGATTCGAGACTTTAATCATGGAAACTGATTCTTCGTCTCATCGAATCTTTTTTTAAAAATTTTTCCATATTTACGTGATGTTATCAACAATTTCGATCTATAATTCCTTGAAATTGTTCTTCTCATTCTTTGTTGAGTATTATTTTTCCATATTAAATAACGTATCTTCTTCGAATCCATACATTGAACCAGTGATTTGTGAATATTTGAACACTATTATTAGTCGTGAGAATGTCCGTAAATAGCCATAGTTGACGTGAATAAGTAACAATATCTGTGCTATAAGAATACGATAAGAGTGCTGCCTTGACCTTTGATAGTTACAACAAAATCTTTGATCCGGTGGAGGATCGAAGAAGTAGTGTTCACTGGTAGTACGTAATTAATTTCATTGAAATAGAAGAAAATTCATATTTCAAATAACAATTGTTCGAACGAACAATTGTTAACATTAACCTTGTTATACGAGAATATATTGAAGTTATATAATTAATAATAATAAAAAAAAATTAATTTCAGTATCTAAGAAATATCTGTCTCGAAAGTAGAAATATTCTAGTATTATTCGATTCAAGTTATTTCGAATTTTCCTCAATTCACGCATTCGATACTATATTCTTGAAGCATTAGATCCATTAATCGGACTTATTTTTAACCTAATGGCTTTAACGCTATCCTATGACACATTGTCAACGTTCCAACAATAAATCCCACTAATATTATAGCAGTAAAACCTTGAGCTCGCTAAATGATATTCAATTATTACTGCAGCTCGTTTTCTCGAACAACATAGAATCATAATTGCCCCGATAACTGAAGAAAATCGTGAAATTTTATCAGTTAGAAATTAAAGATATATAGAAACATAATTCACAAGAATCGGTAAATCTCAGACATTTGTATCGCGACAATTATATTGAAATCAATTATATTTAACAATTATTTTCATTGACATATAAAACTTTCCTAGTTTTAAAATAAAATCGTCGCTATATTAAAAAAAAAAAAAACGAGGAAAATTGGCTTAATTAAATACACATTCAATTTATTCTTATTATTCCCCACTGGAATGTCCATATTTTTTTGTCTCATCAGTCGTACTTGTGCTCAGGGCGAAACAACGACGCCAATCAATGAAAACGTTCGTCCATAACGGCTGTGGAATTCCCAGCCTTATTATTGCCGTCTTGTTGGTGAAATATGTGTCCTTGAAGAAGAGGAAAAAAATTTAATACCGGGAGAATTTCATCGCGGGAAGGAAAGTCGAGGAAGTGGCGAGAACGCGCCACGTCCACCTCTAAAGGAAGCTATTTCTCCACGTGACGTCCGGTTTGTCTCTATTTTCATTCGTATCCTATCGTCCTCCACGACCGATACCAATTTTTCCCTAATAAATCAACGAACAGGAGAAGCGAACAATCATTTCTATATTTTGTAATCTTTCGTTTGGAAAATTTACACGATTCAACATATTTTAAATTATCCTTCGACGATAATCTGTATTTCGATAAGAAATCGAAAGGATCTCGTCGTCAGATCGACTAATGATACGCGATGATGTTCGATGTACAGACTCAATAGAGAAAAGGAGGAGAAAAATCGATGACGTAAGATAAAACGCGAATAATTCAGTGGCGCTGAATTGTTTACATCCGATTCGTTCATCGAAAGCATTGCATTTGCGTGTGAAACGCGCTTCCCCGATCTCAAAGGCATTAACAACGATCGTTTCGACTCTTGAACACCTGTTGTGATTCCCTCCAATTCTCTCGAATTTCCCCAGCCATCCTGGCTCCTCGATCCCTCAAGAAATTTCCATGTTTGCCATCGCGTCTCGATCAAACGTTGCCCGCTTTCTATCCGCCTAAGAATTTCACCAGGTATTTTGCGTTATAGAATTTCTTCTTTACGCGTTATTTTATTTATTTATTTTCTTTGAACTTCTAAGGATGTTCGATTTATTACTTTTACTCTTTTTTCTTTCTTTCAAATTATATAATTCCTCTTAGGTCGTAGATTATCGATATCTTAAAGTTATTCTGAAATTTGTTCTTCAAATTGCAATAGAACTCCTAAATAATCATGAGCAAAAATCATGATGAGTTTAAAGATGAAAAACCTATCTTTTTACAACGGTTCCCCTTGAAACTCGATATAAGATTCTTTTTTCTCCTGTTTTATTCCTCTTTGAACGAGAAATATATCCTCGACGTTGGAATTTAGTTCAATGTATGTGTATCAGCAAGGTATTTAGGATGCGACGCGTCTTATTCAATGTGGA